ACATTGTCTTTTTCTCAAGGTTTATTTGATTATGTTTTTTTTCGATAATGGGTTGTCCAAGAAACAGCCAAACAGGTTTATTTAATTATGTTTTTATTCCAATTTTTTGCTTGATAAATATATGTTTTTTCAGATCTGGGTTCGGTTTCGGGTTATGGTTCGGGTTCGGGTAAAACCAATGGGTAACGGTTATTCTGCTATTAACGGGTTACCAACAAGGATCGGGGAAACCGCGTGGACCCGATGGGGATCCCCGACGGGGATCAGAACGGTTACGGGGATGGTTATAGTTATCGGTTTCGGGGACGGGGACTCTAAAAACCGTCCCGAACCCGACCCGTTGCCATTCCTACCTACAATTTTTAAAAGCCGTATCTAGTTGATACCATTTGGATTAATGCTTAAATAGCATACGTACAGTTTCGATCGAAGTTAAAAGATTTACCAGATCAACGTTACGCATACTGATCAATTCTTTGTCATTGTTCATGCAACTCGTGATGTTCTTTCGGAATCTATCATACCTCTGGTTAACATTCAAATCTTCATCCCTAATAATAGCATCCATCTGCAATTATTAACAAACGAATACGGTTAATTATAGACTACAAGTCATTTATATGGCAATTACATCGACATTCATTCATATACTATTACCGAAATGTCCGTTTGTACAAAGTAGCGCCTAGGAGACTCATTGCTCCTCAACCTCTCCTCTCTGTTAAGAACCATCGACCACACGTCTATAATTTTTGTGCTAACCACGCTTTGAGATACAAGGGATTGCATTATTTGACGTGTCACTGTCTTCCCTTTTGTTGTCATGAAAACCGGTTCATTACATGTTTAATTCGTTAGGTAGTAAATATCCAAATTGACAATAACACATACTTGTACAAAATAACCTTTAAAATTTGCACAATTTAACTTACAGAGTTCTGCCTATGCCTCGTAATATCCAATCCTGCAGCTTTCTTTCGTCACTATTCACCTCGAACATAACCGCACGTGTAACATATAGTGAATGTAGTTTAAAACTCAGTTTCGGATCTCTTTTTGGCATTGTAGATATGACATTTTCGTGTCCACCTATTGCTTTCGAACTACCAACACAAGCAATGACCTCTTCCTTCGATGGACTTATTCCCAAATCGAAAGCTGGTGTATCGATATCTGCATATGAATCAATTACTTGGACGTTGTTACACGAATGATGGTAGCCAGTGCATAAACTATATGTGCATGTCTGTTCGTATACGTAATTGTGTACGCGCATGCAAAATGGTGTTTATAAAATGGGTGTTATTTGTTTGATATATCACTACGATGTTCTTATATGAAGTAGTGATGAACGGGGTGTAAAACCCTTTGGTGTATATGTGCACCCTTTCTTTGGTTATGAAACATTAGTGTGTGTGTATGCGCTTAGATCACAACATTTGCACCTTCTCATAAATCAACACTGTGAACAAGACAATAACATAAATTAACTGCTGTTCATGTTTGTACTAAATGTGCATTCTTTTGCCTATATATACACAGCCATATACGCCCAACCAAATTATGGTAGAAGCTGTTAATTTGTGTTTATATATGGCTGGACCAACGTCAATGTGGTGTATAAGATGAAATGGAAACATCATTTTTTGTTTGTATTTCTGTTTCTTTCTCTATATGTGCATAAATCCATCATGATCATACCTACCACATAAACTCAATAAATTAAAAAAGAATTGTTATTATGAAGCCGTGTAAACATTCCTTTTGGCCCATATATTCACATCAACAGACGCCCCACAAAATTAAGGTAGCAGCTATTACTTTGTGTTGATATATTGTCAAACGATGAACCAACGTCAACACGATGTTCTTATACGACATAGTGATGATCATTGTGTGAAGAACTTTGTTATTTATGTGATAAACATTGGAACGATTTGAAGTTATTAACATACAAAAAAACATGCATATCAAGTACCTGTTTGTGAAGGTCTATGCAGTTTACTTGCCCAAGTTTCACATTCATCTATGCCTCTACTTCGAACCCTACCCACACTCTCCAATTGTGCTTCTAACGATGTCATCTTCACCTTTTCCAACAGTTTCGGGTCTGTGTTACATCCTACTCCTTTTGCTGTGATAGCAGTTCTCTCGTTTGATTCCCGGTCAACCTCTGCAATCACGGTGGGGCTCGTCCAAAATTGTGATAACGGCGATAACATCACAGGATGGATGTGGTCGTCATCTTAGGAGGAGTTACACCAACAACCGACAATCCTTTGTCACTACA